AAAACTGCATATAAATGATGTGCTGCTGAAGCTGTTTGAGGAAAGAATTTTTTTTCGAATCTTGGAGAGATACCAGGAGGAAAGTCTCACTTTGAAATTTTCAAAAACTCGGTCGTACGAAACACTTCTAGTGGCTCCTTGATACCTCTCAGATAGATAAAAGCGAAAAAAATCGTGGACATAAAAATGGTTTTATTCCAACACGTCCTTTCCACATTTAATTGTAATGCACTCGCGTATGTAAATATTAATGTATATTTTTCATCGTAACGACAGCACATGCAAAGAAAAGCCAAAAAAAGGAGAATATTGAAAGAACGAAATAGATGCGATGATGAGCACACTGATGTAAAAGACAACTACCTACCTGATGAAAATGTCATGGTTCGCTGATTCACGTAAATATGTTTACGTGGAGAAAAAACGGCATAACTTCGTCAACGATAAATATGAAGTGATATTGATTGCAAACACACAAAACAAACTCACACACTCCAGTATTACTCAATATGTAAGTACGTTTAATTTCTAACGTTATTAGACTAGCGATCAAATTCCAACTGAAAGTCCAGAGTAACTAGAAATGAGAAAATATGACGGGATATAGAAATGAGGCATTTCAATTGCCAGAGATCGATTTCAAGAAAGTTCGATTGAAAATATTGAGTATATGCGATTGATAATCTTGATTGTCACAGCTCTTCCACATAAAATAGTATAACCACAAGTCATGCCAAACCGACTGTCCTTTGAAATGGCTAGACTTTACTTAGAATTCTAGTGGTACACAACACAAATCTCATTTTTAAGTGGCTAACATAGCGAAGGTGTGGATGTGGGTGTAGATGAGGGTATGGATGTGGGTATTATTATCTTCCTCACACCCACACCCCACACCCACCCCTTATCGATAAAACCTGTATACTTTTTTATCGAAGCAGTGCAAAATGATGATGTCAATGATTATTATAGTGGAATCAATGTATGGCAGATAATGAAGTTCTCAATCCTATTTTATATTTATATATTTTTATTTTAAATCGAGATTACTGATAATAGATTAAAAAAGAGAGAAGAATGTTGATATAATGGCTACGTGAAAGATGTTACATGGTTAGAAAAAAACATTAACTATAATACAAATGAAAAAGAGCTAAAATATTGAAAATAGTTTCTCTTGATTAATGTCAATTTGATATCAAATTTATACTATGAACTGGAGCAGATCATGAGTTCGTTGCTTGAGTGGTTGGCCCCAAACTAATGGCGCCTAAATTATAGATAAAGAAATGAAAATCGAAACGAGTATAGAAATTACGATAAAAACAAGGAATTATTCACTTGAAGTCTTTCAAATCAAAAATAATGATCCTGAAAAAACTCTGTTTTCTAAATAATAAATTGAGTAAAGTCATCTTTGGTAGGGTAGGAAATAAATTGAAAACTTCAATTTTATACATAGAATTTATATTTTATATAGAAGCTTGGTAAAAATTGTATCAATTATCATTGCATTTCTTTTATTTTAATCTATGTAGATTTTTTAAGACTGATTTGAGTTGTGCCTTTTCTCTGTGGCCCATATAGGATGCCTACATTTTGTAGTATTTTCTGGAACGATAAATGTGCTCATTTAACTACTTCTCATTGAAAATTATAGGTATAAACACAGACGATGCCCAATTTAAGGAAATAGCTGGCTTAGTGCTTCAGTAAACATCGATGCCAGTGTCACTCATGTACCAGTAAACTCAACGTCGATAATATCGTTGTCAGTATTAACATTAAAATTGAACACTTCTAGGGCTGGCGAATGAAAAATATTTCGATGAGTTATTAACTGTCAACTACTGAAAATATGTGTTCCAAGTAACCCCTCTCACAGAATAGAAGCCCACTGGGCTTCTATTATGTTTGGAAAATCAGAAGTTTGAGGGTGGACTTCTATTGCGATCCAGTTTTTCGCCGTGTACAGTAAAATTTGAAATGTTGTTTTCAATGAAAATCACAACAAGATTATAGTAAATTTATTAAAATTCCTATGCAACTGTATATATGTAGTGGTGTTTCGATTGACAGAACTTGGGGAGAGAGCCAACTACTGTTTCAAAAGATTTCTTAGAAATTTTCATAAACTGGGAATTTTCAAAGAATTTCTCGATAAGTTTTTAAAAATTTCTTAAGGTACCCCCCTCAAAAAATTCACTTTTCGTCAGAGTCACTGAAATTGAGACAAATATATAAGAAGATAGCCTGTCATTTGGTCTTTCATAAACGATAAAAATTCTTCTTCGGTGCCGCCTTTTTTTCGAAAAGTTTTTAAGATTTTTGACAACCCCTATTCGAAAAACCAGCAGTTTTTGAAAAAATCCAAAGATTTTTTTTCTTTTTTTTTCAAAGTTGTAGTCGAACGACGCATCGCCACCAAAAGTCAACTATAATGCGATATAAACTCAAATATTTTTTTTATTTGAAAGAGCATCAAAAACTGCAGTGCCTATGAGAGCCCTTTTTTTGATAAAGCTTTGCTATTTTTATATTGATAAGTAATTTTATTATACGAGCGCCATTTTTTGAGGGGTTTTTGAGTGATTGAACTTGTAAAGCCTTTTTTTCTTCATAAAGATAAGGATTTAAAAAAAGGGTCCTCATAGGCACTGCATCCTGACATATTCTTTCATATGAAAAAACAATCAACCATATTGATTGAACATCCACAGAGAATTTTTGGAGACGCGATAAGCTATTTTTCGACCCTTGTTTGGCTCATATCTACCTCAGACATCAGAATAGGAAGCTGAAAATTCCATCACAGACGTACTTTTACACCCCCAACATATCCTCAAAGTTTCATGCTATCTCGATGTTCCGGAGCTGAGATCGAATTTTGAGGGAGGCGGGCTTAACAAGTTTTGTAAATCGTTAAGCAAAAAAACGAAATTTTTGAAGATTTGGATGACCTAGGGCTACACCGATTTCCATTCTTGGAATGGGTCGAAATTAGTGTGAAATTGGCATCACTTTGAAAAATTTCTATCTAGTATAAACACTCGCACGGTTCTCTATGTGATACTATAAAAGCGCCTTCGAATATGAGAAAAAAAATTTTTTCGAAGATTTCTCTGGGGGATGTGCAAAAAAAATTTTTTTCCTCATTCGCCATTTCGATTTGGGTGGGCTTCTATTACATCCGGAAAATTATAGCGATGGGATTGGGCTTCTATTCCGGATGGGCTTCTATTATGGGGTGGGCTTTTATTCTGTGGGAGGGGGTTTAATCAGATTTTATGTCCAATATTGGCAAATAACGTGCATCTGTCAGACATATTTATGATACCTTTATGATAAAGTCAATTTTATTAGTAAATTTTATTAATAACTTTTATTGCGCAGTCAATAGAGCTGAATTCGTTTTATTTTTTCCAATAAAGGTAATGTCAATTTATTCAGAAGATAAGATATTTTCATGGTTTCTAACACTTTCTTTATCGTTCGGTACTCAAATGAAAAAAATTTGAATCTTTTATTTTGCATCGATAAAAATTAATTTAAAAAATTAATTTTATTTAAATTTTAAACAAGGTGAGAGAAATAAATGTTTTAAATAAATCTGCTGTGTTACATTACGTTAGTAATTACAGTTTAAAATATTTAGTTTAAAAGTTATATAAAATATCTCAGGATAGATTTTAATTTACAAAAATTTCAATATGCTTTAATTCAGTAAACAAGATATTAGATCAGTTTTTAGTTAATATATTTCATATCTACGCTAAGAAGTCATTAAAGAAACATCGTTATAAAATCCAATTCACCTTTTTTATTTTCTTTTACAGAACGAATTTTCTGTTTTTTCCTTTGATTCAACAGAAGTGTTTTTCGGCTACACTAAACATATCGTTTCTCTTTGTATAATACGCGCATTTTACAATATTATTTTCTCTACTTCTTTCTCATAGAACTTTCACTGTTACTCGAATTATTTCAACCAATTCTGTATGTATATGCAAGTGGTTCCACATAGTTGATGCGCACCAAAATACGATTGACAGTTAGAAACAAGTCAGTTTCTTTTAGTTATACTAATTATTAACTTTTCAAGGATACAGCACGCGTAAAACAACAACAGAAAGCAGCGTTTATTGATAAGACGATACAACAGAAACGCATACAGCGCATGATTATAGCTTAATCAGCGGCGTAGCCAAGGAAGGGGCAAATGGGCAATCGCCCATTTTATTTGATGATTTGCCTATTGTAATTTTTATTAGTAAGTTTTTGCCCATCGAAGTTTTACTTTTTTAGAATTGCTTATTTATTTTTGAATTAGATAGTAACTCGATTTGTTTTCTTCTGTCTGAATCACATATGTACTTTTTGCTTGTTCTTTCAATGAAGAATGAAGAAAAGAATCGCTTCTGGTATTTTCACCAGAGTTGCTAGATGAAAAACTTAAAAGTCAGAAATTCTTGTTTTCAAAATCAGAAAAAAAATCAGAATTGTTTTTCCGAAATCAGAAACTAATCAGAAAGAGTAATTTTTTGCAAACCAAGAACTATTATGTTGACATACTTGCACAAAAGGCTTCACTTTTTTTTGTTTATCGACTTATACTTTGTTTCCGAAAATGTTTCATAGTAAAGACAGACAACACAAATATTATATAGCTTAGAGTAAAACATCGTGCACTGTAAGCTAAGGAGGTTGATCATAATCGGATCAAATGAATGCTCTCACTGTCAAACCAACTAATTGAAAATATGAGCTGTTAATAGCGTACACATGTCGAGATATTCGAGTTTCAAGAAGCTTCCAATTTGTTATATGCCCACACTGCGAAATTTCATCAACGCTTAGCTTTCTTTTTTCGTTATGGTTGGGCGAAGCAGGACCATTTACATAAGAAAAAACAATATCACGCATATTAAAAAGCAAATTCTACAAAGTCTAAGACATTTTTTTAATTATAAGGGTAATCAACAAATAATTTTAATTGCTATCAAATTGCTTTTGAATGTGTGTGATATAGCTTCTTCTTATATAAATAGTCATATTCCATCCAACCATGACGAAAAACGAAAATTAAAGGTTGATGAAATTTCGTAGTATAGACACATGACAAGCTGTAGGTATCTTAAAATTTAAACGTCTCAGTCTGTATACGCTTTTGGCAGCTCATGTTTTAAACTAGTTGGTCTGTGAGTGAGAGTATTCATTTGATTCAACTATGAGCAATCTCTTTAAGTTGCCGTTGTATGGCCTTCTATTGTTAGTTAATACAAAAAAAGCTAGCAAAAGACACCTAGTATGGGATTCTTTACAAAGTCCATAACTCTGTTTACGAAAAATATGCGCAAACAAATCATAAATATATACAATGCAGATCAAAAAATCTTATGAAAAATAATAAAGATTATAGAACATAAATTTCATATTATTTTTCAAGTTTTCCTTTGTTCAAAATTTCTTCAACAAATGTTTTTGAGCTAAAATATGTTTACAAAATCGTTCAAAAAAATAAATAGCATTCATTCTTAAGTTCTGCAAAGCAAAAATTTACTGATATATTAAAGCATTCGTCAGTGGCTGCAGAACTCAGAAACTACAAAAGATTAAGAAAGGAAAGAAGGTAGTGGAATACGGATCTATAATATTAATGGGTTATACTCGCAATTAATTTCGCTAGCAAAGCCACCATCTAAAAACGTTTCGAACTCGGCAACAAATCAGAAAAAAGTACCAAAATCAGAAGATCAGAAGAAAAATTGAAAAAATGTTCAAATTTTAGAAATTTTCCTGACTTTTCAGAGGATCTGGCAACCCTGATTTTAACTGTAAGTTAGAATGAACATGAGTTCGGTTTTATTGGGAAAACACTAACCACGTAAAGATAGAGAAGGATAGATCAAAGAGAAGAGAAACAAGAGCACAGATCAAGAGAATACACTCGAACATATATATGTGTAGATATATACACATATAGATTCACGCATAGAAGAGAAAGGAAAAAACCAAGATGTGAAATGATGTAGCTCGTAGGGAAAATGGCCATGTGTGTTGTACAAATACATATTTTGGCATCCCACTAATACTTTGTAAAAGAAGAGGAAAAAAGAGGCTCAGTGTTCTTGGAAGAAAGAAGATTTTTAATAAAAAAGAGAAGAAAAAGAGGCATATGGTTTCGTCCAAAGAAAACTAAAACCCACTAGCACAATAGTACTATAAATCCGACAAAACTCGTACGTTATCAATATAGGTTGAATATGACTTGAAAGGGTAAAAAAAGAAACGAAACTTCCAATTGTTCATAGAGATTCTTGTGCAATTGCTTATGTATGCATTAGAAAACGGAAAAACATCAGAAAAATAGTCTATTCTATTTGCGTAGTATCTGACTATAATATTACTCTATCTGACTAAGTAGGCACACAGAAATAGAAACGATCAGAATTCATTAAATGTTTGTTTTTGCTTTTTGTTCCTTTTTTCGG